TCTTACTCTTTCAAGACACATTAATAAATTTATTTATTTGGTTTAGATGCGCTAATAGAACCAGTATATTTTCGTAATCGTCATAAAAAGTTGGTAGTGGAAGAGAATCTGTCCTCGTCAGTGAGTGTTCCTTCTTCGGCGCAGAATAGTCTCACTACATTAGTTTCTCCCAGCTTTCAATCCGGAGGTGAAAATTACGAATTTAACAAAGAACCAACGTCGGCAATTAAAAAGCAGTCACGATTTCTTGATATTCAAGATAAAGCATCTCTAATGTTGTCTCCGATTTCCGATGACGCAAACTCTGCGCTCTTACCACTGGAAACCGCTGTTGAACCGCTTCACCATTTGGTTCCAAATCTCAATCGATATGTTTATATTGCAAAGCGAAACGCTAAGAATAATCTCGATGGTTTAACATCTGATGAGGCAGCATCAATCCATCTGTATACCATGGAGTGGGATGAATCTAATAAGAGTCTATATTCTCAGTTAAATCGAGCACTACGTGCTGTAGATCGTGAGACATTAATACCGTATTATTTAAAGCTATTTCTTACAGCTCTCCACAAATTACCATCGATCAGAGCTACAGTATGGCGAGGTGTTAAAACGAATATTAGCTCGAGCTATAGAAGTGGATGCATACAGTATGGTGGGGGATTTCCGCATGCACATCGTCCCTTAGCACGTTAGAATCAGAAACGTTTCTTGGAAAAACCGGAATAAGAACATTGTTCTCATAATAAAACATCTAGTGTTTCAATCATCATACGAGCACGGTCATTCGTCTGAATACGATTTGACGCACTGTAACCACGCTCATATTCCACCGAGTTTAATGGTTCAATTAAAGAAACTTGTAATAAAAGAAGAATATTTTTATATCGCTCATGAAAATTTGTTTGAGTGTAGGGTGTATCCATGGAGAGCCAACCATTTTTTCGAAAAAATTTTCCTGAGCAGTCCCGCAATGTGGAAACGATGGGGCATCACTGAAAAACATTTTTGGTCATAAAATTGAAGAGTCCCTCTAGCGGGAAAATCGAGTTCTGGAGCCATATCTCGGAATATGGAACCGTATGGTCAAATCATGCAGAAAAGTGTGTTTAACATCTCAGCCACTGCATGAAGGAGGTTTTCGTGTAATATTACCTCGTGGCGGATAAAATAGACTCTATGGGACGCCTCTCTCGATGACAAAAAATAGCATTTTTAGGTGAAAACCGTGTTTTGGGGATCTGTTTTAGCCTAAATGAATATAAATGACCTGGAAAAGGACTTTGAGTACTAATTTCGATTCGCTCTTTCCATTTTTACTCTATTTAAACGATAGCGAACATCGACCGAAGTCATCCGTCATCTTTCCCTGTCACACACCTACCTTCGAGGGCACACTGGATCCTCTCTAGCCAACCTAATCATATAGATTTGATTCTCATCTCACCAGAACGTGATTTAGGCGTCAACTATAAATATTCTGACTCAGTTTCTGAGCTCTGAATGAGCATGATCAGCCCGGCATCGCCTGCTACAACCTTGTAAAACAAGGATTTTGTGCAGCGAAATCACCCGTATGACTAGCTCATCTCCGTCTTCCCAGAACTAACGAGAAAGTCCTTTGCATGATCGTGTGCAGTTGTTTGAAGCGATGAAGTTTTGATAGTATGTGCGTGTTGATAAGATTTAACCATTCTGTTGAAGCGAATACGAGCTGTTCACATAGGAATATCTCTTGATGAAAACTCCCGTTTCGAACAATGGTGATCTGTTAGCGTCAACAGATGACTCTTTGTTGTCGCTTACTTATTTCCTTTCTATTGTTCGTCTTCTCTGGTTCTCCCTCTTGTGTCGCCTTTTGCCTTTCCTCTTATCTCGTCGTTCATATACATTTCTCTCTTTCTCTCATTCTCTCTGATCTTTCGATTAATCTCGATCACTGACCATTTGTACTTTTCCGTATATCCAAGACACATACTTTTCAGCCATCAGTAGTCCACCCCCTCCTCTCATCTGTCATAAGAACGTCCTTTTCTTTCTGTCTTTCTGTCATTGATCATTACGCTCGTCATCTGAAATGCATGTACTGAAGGTACAAGTATCCTCGTCCACTGTATACTCGATAAGTCCTCCATTATGGCACTCTCGCCTATTCACAATGCTTACGAGGGAACGTGTCTCTATCCGATGACACAACTGATAACGTCGTCCGATTCTACTCTGAAGATGGCATTAGTCGAGTCTCATCCAATTCGAAAGACGCAATTCAGATCAACAAGCAACCAGTTCCAGTTCGTTTCATGGAGATGACTGTTTTGGATGCCTTTCGGATATTCGATGATCGTTTTCCTGGTGCTGCACAGTAGGCGATTTTGGCTAGAGCAGGCGGACATGTGCTATTAATTCAATAATAACTTTTGATAGAAAAGAGCTAGAGAGCTCTGGTTTTTGCCATTCGAAAGCGGAGACTTGAAAGCATGTTTTCATAACCAACATTGTTTTCAGAAGAGTTGTCTGAAACAGGTTTTCTAGGAGATCTTTAGAAAACTAGGCCGTCTGTAAAAATTTTCCAATAGAATTGGATTGCTGTTTTTTCATGCACTGTTGGCCCGGGGTGTTCTCTTCAAAACTGGAGTAAAGTGAGACCTTGATTTTCCGCGGTTCGGGGGTTAAATCGGATTTCCTACGAGTCCCAGGACTGACATACGGTGACTGTTGGTAGCGTTGAAGACGGATGGAATATGGGTAATCGACCATGCTGAGCCTTCTGAGAAGGTTTGGTTTTAGAAAAGTTATAAAAATCTACCGAAAAGCGAGTTTTACGAAAATTTGCGATTGCAGGCTGTTCTCACCTAACATTAAAAAGTTCACTATTTACTCAATAAACATCAGAACGAGTTCAAAATTTCAGCATGTAGAGTATTTAAACTATTCTATATCCTGTTTATAGGAGATCTCAAAAGAAATTTTATAAAATCCTAAGGTTTTCCAAAAGGTTTTCTGGAAAACCCAATAATAAAACAAGGTATTTTGCTAATTTTTCGATTGTATGATCACGTTTAGCGAAGGAAATCAACCATATCCTGGAAGTTTGAACTCGTTCTGATGTTTATTCAGTAAATAGTGAACGTTTTAATATTAGGTGAAAACAGCCTGCAAACGCAAATTTTCGTAAAACTTGCTTTTCGGTAGATTTTTAGATTTTTTTCTAAAAATAAATATTGCCACGAGGCTCAGCATGATCGATTACCTATAGTCCATCTGTTTTCCAGGCTACCAATATATTGGAAGCCTGAAAAACAGATGGACTATAGGTATAATAATAGGTAGCAACAGATGGACTATAGGTATAGTAATAGGTAGCATCCAGCTTTGCCCCAAGAGCGTTCGAGATGTTATACACTATCTGACGCAGTTTCTTACACTGATTCTAAATATGATTTTGTATGGAATAAACACATTTCTGAATCGAGAAAAATATGAAATACCTGAAAAACCATGGTTTCTTCGAAAATCTCCTGTATCCAGGAACATTTATGCTAATTTATGCTACCTGTGGTGATAGAGGACATATGGAAGAACATTCTGGCAAAATTTGAATAAGTTTCAAATTCGGGGCTGGAGGGGGCGCTCATTTTACTACTATAGCAGTTTGGAAAAGCACTGGAAAAAAAGAAATTTTTTTTCTCAGGCATCCTCAGTAGTAATTGGACACTTTTTGTTTTATAAATCAGTAGCGGACATTATGCAAATTCATAATATATATTGTTTTTGGTTGTCGCTTCAGTGGATTCTGTAAAAATAATATGTGTTGTATAGATGGCGCTGTTTTCAGGCTGACTTTTTAATTATTTTCAATTAGCTCATTTTCACTTCTACTTGAACTTTATAGCTAAGTTTATACTTGAACTTTATAGTAAAACTTTTAACGCCATGAAGTAGTCCATAGTCCGAAGTATATCTAGCACTAATTAAATCTTGCAAAAGTGCACTTTCGATTTTTCACCTAATGTCCACTGGTTGCCCATAGTGAGCTGTCGGAAGATTTATCTTTTACTCTCTTCGTCCTCGAGAAGGGAGAGGACGAAAAGCAGAAAATAAGAGAATAAAAACAGCAAACTTCAGTCTGAAAACGTCGTTTATTTCTATTTTTGGTTTAAAAGTTGGTCCTTGTTGTTGCTTTGAGGCTGCGACTACTAACATTCTGCAGATAACTTATAGAAACGTTCACGCTTACGCCTTTTCAGCTTCTAAATTGCCTTATTCTTTAGCTGCTCGTGTTCCATGCCCTCCGACATCAGAAAAGGTTTTGAAAATTTGAACTTTATAGAATTAGACTCACTTTTGTATAGATAAGCAGAAAAAGATAG